TTGGCTTTTGTGTGGCGTCTTTGCCTGCTGTCGGACGGAGTCTTTGGTTTCCGAACTTCTGGTCTGACTGCTGCTCAGCGTGAGGATGGCCTTGGGAGTGGAGGGAGGCAGGTGGATGGCTGCTGGGCACAACACGGTGCGGGGAGGGCACTCGTCGGGGAACTTGGGGGGTAGACCCACGGGGGCTCTGGCCCCAGGCGAGCGCCCTCCCTACCAGCCTTGTTTCCTCTGTCGCCCCTGCAGAGTTCCGTCCAGAAGGGCAGGGCCTGCCAGTCTTCTGATTGCAATGTGATTTTCAAGTCGTTATTTACATCTCAGGGTTGGAGGACGAAAGCTCTGGAATCGATGTTCTCACCTTCGTTTCTGTTTCACTGATTGTAGCTGCCTCAATAGGTGGCTTGCTTCTTAAGAGGCTGGAATGTCCTCTCCGATGTTTCGGGGTTGGTAGCAAAACCCAGCGTGCTCTTCACACGTAGGTGAAACGATCCGAGTGCCCAAGGAGCAGGGTCTTTGTGGTCTGAAAACCGAAGCTCCCATGCTTTTTTCTGAAATGGGCACTCAGGTGGTTGTTTTTGTTGGGTGCTGTCGAGTCGGTTCTGACTCATAGCAACCCTGTGCACCGCGGAGCAAAGCACTGCCGGTCCTGCACCATCCTCCCAGTCGTTCTTATGCCTGAGCCCATCATTGCAGCCACTGTGTCAGTCCATCTCGTTGAGGGTCTTCCTCTTTTTTGCTGACCCTCTACTTTACCAAGCATGATGTCCCCAGGGTCTGATCCCTCCTGACAGCATGTCCAAAGTCTGCGAGATGTAGTCTTGCCATCCTTGCTTCTAAGGAGCATTCTGGTTGTACTTCTTCTAAGACAGATTTGTTAGTTCTTCCGGCAGTCCAGGGCATATTCAATATTCTTCGCCAACACCATATTTCAAAGGCATTAATTCTTAAGTCTTCCTTATTCATTGTCCAGCTTTCGGATGCATATGATGCAATTGAAAATACAATGGCTTGGGTCAGGTATTAGGAAAAAATGATTTTCTTTAGTAGTGAGCTGCAGGTGGAAACGACAATATTTTTTTAGAATAGAAACAGCATTGCTGTTTATGATCATAAAATAATATGTGTTAAAGCAGTAGAAAAACATATAAAGCAGGAAGAGGAAGTCTTTCATAATTATCAGAGCTAAATTCTATACACACTTCCAGATCCACGTGCACATGTGTACGCGGGCACGTGCTTTAAACCACAACACGGTCCTCCCTGCCTTTTCCTCGCGGGTGAAGCCAGGCGAGCAGCCGGAGAGCCCCCTCCTCCCCGGGTGGTCTCAGGTGCCTAAGCGAGCCCTCGGGAGGCCCTAGGACAGGACGCCATGGGAAGGGCTCGCCTGCGGGTCGTCGGACGTGTGATGGTTGCCAGTTTTCACTGTCCTGGGAAGGATAACACAGGCAGAGAAGTGCACATCCCGTGAGAGGCCACACGGCGAAACAGCCGCTGTCAGCACGCCCACCTCAGGAAATGGAAGGTGCCTCCACCCAGACGCCCCCTGTGCCTTTCCCATCCTCCCCTCCCTTCTACTCAGATGAACCAGGGTCCTGACTTCTGCCACTGAAGTTATGTAAATGGGATCGCACAATACGTGTTCCTCTGGGTTTGGCTTCTTTTGTGCACTGTTACCTGTGTTGTATATCATGATAGTTTCTTTGTCTTCCCTGCTGTGTAATATTCCATTTCATGAATATAGCACACTGTGGATCTCCAGTCAATACCCGGTTGTTGACCGTCCTGAGTGCTGCCATGAGCTGTTTTGTGTCTGTCTCTCTCTGCACCTGTGTGAGCACTTCTTTCGGGCACGTACCTGGGAATGCGGTCGTCGGGCCATACTGTGTGGGGTTCAGTTTCAGTGGGTAACTCACACTGTTTTCCAGTGTGGTTTACTGGTTTGTAGCAGATCTTCACAGGATTTGGCATCGTCAGTTTGTGTGTGTGCGCACGCACATTCTAGTCTAGCCATTTTGTAGAGTGTCTGTTGTGGTTTTAATTTACATTCCTTTGACTTTTTTATGAAGTGAGCACGTTCCCTTATATATGTTTGTCTGTGTTTAGATGGTCTCTTTTATGAAGTGCCTGTTCAAGATCCTGCCCTTTTTCTAGATCTTCTCTTACTCTGACACTTGCCGTTTTACTCTGTTAATGGCATCTCCTGAAGAATAGAATTTTTTTAAATTGGTTAGTTATAATATGGTCTGATTTATCCATTAGTCTTATTTAGCTCTAAGTCAGAGTCATAAACATAGTTTCCTGTATTTTATGCTGCATTGTTTTCCCTTTAGATTGACTGTTCTCCTGGAGTGATTCTGCACTCGGGGTCAAGGGTCACAGAGAGATCTCATTGTTGCGGCACATTGATTAAAGCATCACTGTCACAAAATGTAAGGGTTTGCGTCCACTATGTCTGGGCTGTTTCTGGACTCTGCAGTCTGTGTGTTGCTTGGTTTGTTGACCCCTGGTGCCATGCCATTGCCCTAATTATCATAACTTTATAACAAGCCTTTTTTAAAGATCCTTTTTATTTTAAAATATAACACACCTGCAGAAGCTGCATAAAATAAACGTGTAGCTTAATCGGGTCGTGACTTGGCACATGTGATTATCAGTTCTTTGCTCTTTATAGTTTTATGACAGAACTGTGCATCTCTAAATATTAGTTAAGTTTTGCCTGTTTTGTTTTGTTTTTTAATATGATCGTTCAACCTCTTGATCTTCAGATTACCCTTTTATCCTCTTCCCCTCCTGCCCATCATGGAAGTTATTTGTTGAGGAAATTAGGCGGTTTGACTTGTATTTCTCACAGTCTAGACTTTGTCTGTTGCGTTCTTATGGTGCAGTTCAGTGTGCTCCTCTGGGCTGTAGTTTCCTGTAAATTGGTAGTTGGATCTAGAGACGTGATCAGATTCGGGCCTGGCAGGACTCCCTCAGAGGTGGTGTTGGGTTGTTCCATCAGGAGGAATGTCTGGCTGTCTCTCTTTTGACGTTGGCAGCCATTGATGCACATGCCTGCATACATTAATTCGTTAGGGTTACAAAATGGTGATGTTCTAATCCAGTTATTCCTTCTTGGTTTATTAGCTGGAATTTCTCTATAAAGAGAAACTTGCCCTCATCTACTACTTGGTTATCCAGTGCTACAGTTCATATAGGAAGCCGAGAAGAAATGCTTGTTCTCTTTTTTTTTTTCCCCAAAATAATGAATCCATTTCTTATTCTCTTTCTAAAGTGACCAATGAAGGATTTTATTTTGGTAATTTTATGAATTCATGGATTGAAACATTTGATGTGTTTTAATCCAGTGCTCTTACCCTTATTTATGTTTGCATAGTCTCATATTTAAACAGTGGGAGCCTTTTCAGGGTGGCTCTAGGTTCCTTGTTACCCCGTTTGCCAAGGTGTTCTGGACTCATCTCATGTTCTTCCTTCCCTAGACCTGGAGCAAGCCATTTCTTTAAGGAGCATTGATTTCTTTCATGAGAGATAGTGTTTCAAAACCCCAAAGTTAGGGATGCTAAACGACAGTATTAGGGATGCTCATTTGTATTGCTTGTATGCTGTTTCTGTGAACAGAGCTAGGCTCTGTGTGTGTGTATAGTTATGTTCAGTGAATACTGGGCGTTTACTTAACCTTTTCTACTTCTGTCTCCCCTTTCTACACTGTGAATGTCAGTTCTCAAGACATAGGAGATGACAGAATATCACACGGTCACTGTATTGTTACACAAATAACGCGCGTATTATAAGTTCTTTTGTAAACTATGCAAGTCCCCATGCGTTAATTTCATAACACACTATATTAGTAATTTTTTACATGTTGCTGACTTCAATTTCATTTTTTTCCTTGTCCCACAGAGTTAATGTTACTGGGATAAAACTGATCTCATGGAAACATCATTTAAAGTACATATTTTCCTAACCAAGTGTAACCAGTGGTGAACTGAACGGGCTTGTGATGGAAATGGGCTGCCATGTTGAACCCAAAGCATATGAATGCATGAAGAGCTAGAAATTAGTAAATAAGAAATGATCTAGGCCTAAAACTGCAAGAACAAGATATTGTTTATATTTTATTGCTTTATAAATCTTAAACTAAAAGGTAATTTTTGATAATCAATGTCTTTGAAATCAACAAATAAAAGTCACCAGAAGAAATTGTATTTTCATCTTAAAATAGGCCATTTTATTTTATTCATTCATTATCATTATCATCATCATCATCATCATCATCATCATCATCATCATCATCATCATCATCCTGACTCCCGAAACCCTTGCAAGTCTGATCCCTCATCACTATCATCATTGACAATATCTCAGAGTTGCCTGCAGATGTTCTTCTGTGACTTCTGAACTGATGTTATCATCATCACTGCCTTCAGTGTATTCATCAGTATTCTGCTGATGCACAGTCCCAGCCTTTCTGAAGCTGTTGTGGATGGATTCTGGGGTTATTTTCCCCCAAGCAGAAGACACCCACTTGCAGACTTCTGTAAATGTCACCTGCTTCAGGGATATGTTGCCTCCAAAATCCAAACAGGCCCACCAGGGTCCTCTACTGCTGCCTCCTTTTTAGATATAGGAGGGGCCAGCTGTTACTACTTATCCTTCACTTTAGAAGGAATATCTAGATATGCTTCACACTACTGGACTTCCAGAAATTTCACTGAGGTGGAAAGCACCTGAATTTTGGGGGGATTAATTTCCCACCCTCTAGCATGCAAATGTTTTACCAATAAGTCCAGAGTCATTGACACGTCTTCCTTACTAGGTCCAGTCAGCATAATGCCATCAATGTAATGAACCGGTGTGTCATCTTGTGGATGGGAAAGATGAGCAAGGTCCCTGCAGACTTAATTATGACGGTGGGCCGGAGAGTTGATGTACACTTGAGGTAAGACAGTAAAGGTGTATTGCTGGCCTTGCCAGCTGAAGGCAAACTACTTCTGGTGTTCCTTCGAAACCAGAATTGAGAAGAAGACATTGGCCAGATCAGTAGCTGCATACTGGGTACCAGGAGATGTATGTATTTACTCAAGCAACGAAACCACACCTGGAACAGTGGCTGCAGTTGGAGTCACCACCTGGTCAAGTATTTGATAATCCAGTGTCATTCTCCAAGGTCCATCTGTTTTTTGCACGGGCCAAATAGGTGAGTTGAATGGGGATATAGTGGGAATTTACCACCCTTGCATCCTTCAAGTCCTTGATGGTGGTAGTAATCTCTGCATTTCCTCCAAGAATGCTGGAATTTCTCCAGGAATGAAGTATTGCTTTTGGTTTACTATTTTCCTAGGTAGGGGCAGTTCTGATGTCTTCCATTTGGCTTTTCCTACCGTAATAGCCTTTACTCCACTTTTCAGATATCCAGTGTGGGGGTTCTGCCAGTTGTCGAGTGTATCTATTCCAATTATGCATCCTGGAACTCGGGAAACCACTACAGGATGCGTTCGGGGACTCACTAGACCCACCGTGAGATGAACCTAAGACTCCATATGCCCCCATCCTGACTGCTGGGCCACAATTCACGTTTTGGGTCTTCTGGAATTAGTGTCTGTTTAGAGCCAGTGTGCAGTAATCCCCAAAACGTGTGATTGTTTTCTTTTCCCTAATAAACAGTCACACTCGTAAAAGGCTGTAGATCCCATTTGAGAAGGCTGGGAGAAAGATTAACAGTATAACACTTTGGCAGTGTAGTGGGGTCCTTCATCAAGGGGACCTGGCCTTCCCTTCATTTTAGAGCTTATGCATCTGTAAACTGGCTCAAATTTGGGGATCGATTGAGACACAGTGACTCTATTCTCATGATTTGAGTTTGATTGCCATTCACTTGACATAGATACACAGTTACTTGCTCTCTGTAATTTATGATACCCAGTGTTCATTTTTTCCTATCGTACACTTAGGTCTGCTTTACAACACTAAGTAGGAGAAATGTTCAGTATGCATAGTATGTTCAATTACACACATAGTCTTAAACTTATAACCTTTTTTAAAAACTTTCCAGTTTCATTTTCTTTTCTCCAACCCTTAACTATCTTCCCATTCATATGCATATGACCTTGGGCCTCTGGCTGGTTGGAACCAGTAGACCCTGGCCCTCTATCAGTCATCCTGGTTATCTGGCCTGGCTTTTGATCCAGGCCACTTTAGCTGCAGCTTTTCAGCCATTCAGGTAACAACCACCAAACTAACCATCTAAGAATCAAAAGTTTCAATTCCCAAGCCCCTTCATTCTTTTTATTACATAGTCCCATATTTTCATTAGTCTGGAGCCATTGCAAAGAATTTTGCTTCTGAAGCCAATGGTGAAAATGGCATGGAGGTGGTGTCTGACCTTCTCTAAGTTCACAAGGGGGAAGGAAAATCAAGATCATCAGCCCAAGGCTGCTTCCTATGAGGTGGAGGTCAGACATGCCTCCTGTCTCTGCCATCTTTACCAATTTTGACACCAGCCGTCCCTCCCACGGCCCTCTCTGGGAGTGTGCTGGGTTCGATAATTCATTGCAGTGGCCATACAGAACTCACAGACAATACTCAATGATTATGAGGTTCATTAGGGAAGTAACATCTACAATTCAGGCTCAGAAACATTCAGGATACAGTTTTTTCTTTAAGACAGCCTCTTCCCAGCCATGCTCACAGGCATGCCTCTCCCTGGCCCTTGGCTTCTGCCCAGAAGCACTCAGCTTTCTTGCTCCATGGACTGGGAAGCCCACCACGCCATCTCCTGCCATTGTTTTTCTGCCACTGCTTCTAAAGCTCTCTTTCTCTCTCTGTCTTTTGGTACCAAGAGCTTCTCACCACAGGGATCATGGGTCCAAAGGACACACTCTCCGCTCCTGCCTGTTATTACTTGATGATGGTGGGATCCTCTCTCTGGAATTGGCTCTCTTAAGGCAAAACTGAGCAATCCCCTTGGTGGGCCACAGTTGCATTATTTGCACAGTCCCACCCAAGTTATTACAAGTTACAAGACCATGACTAGAAAGCCCACAGAAAAGCAATTCATTGAACTGCAGTGTCACTTTGAGGACTACGGTGTGCCTGACCCAAGCCATGATATTTTTAATTGCCTCATATGCATGTGAAAGCTGGACAATTAATAAGGAAGACCGAAGAAGAATTGATACCTTTGTATTATGATGTTGGCGAAGAATATTGACTGTACCATGGACTGCCAGAAGAACGAACAAGTCTGGCTTGGAAGAAATACAGCCAGAGTGCTCCTTGAGAGTGAGAATGGTGAGAATTTGTCTCACGTACTTTGAACATACTATCAGGATGGACCAGTCCTTGGGAAAGGACGTCATGCTTGGTAAAGTAGAGGGTCAGTGTAAAAGAGGAAGACCCTCAATGAGATGGATTGACACAGTGACTGAAACAATGGGTTTAAACATAACAGTGCTTGTGAGGGTGGCACTGGACTGTGTAGTGTTTTGTTCTGTTGTATGTCAGGTTGCTATGAGTCAGCATGACTCAACGGCACTTACCAACAACAGTAGATACAGAGAAAGAGAGAAATTTATCTCAAGGAAATGGCTCAAGTCCCAAGTCCGTGGGTTAGTGTCAGGCTGGAATCTCCTCCTGATTCGCATAGCTGCCGGGGAGATGAACCCACAATCAGCAGGTCAGACGGCAGGCAGCTGGCTCACAGGCTGTGGATGGTAACAAATCCAAGACTGACAGTTAAGATGGTAGGCTGCTATCTCACAGGTTGCAGAGCCTCACTAATCCCAAGATTGGCAGGTAGGACAGTAGACTTCTGGCTCACAGGCTTCGGAGGCTAACGAATCCCAAGGTTGGCAGGCAGCTGGCTCACATCCCAAGAATTGGTGATCAGATGATGATGAGCTGGATGCAGGATCCAGAGTAAGCAAGCCAGCTTAGCCAGAACGTCCATGTATGTATTGGAAAATCCTCTTACAGGTGATTGACTGATACCATTAGATTACATCATGGTGGATGACTACATCATTACTTAACCACCAGCTTACATTGTTACATAACCGCCAAACCATTAAGAATCATGGCCCAGCTGTTTTGACACACAACCATAGCCATCATAGTAGGTATGTCCAAACAGGTGGATACAATTCTTATTTAGCCTCACTTTACTGCAAGGAGCCTTGATGGTGCAGTTGTTAAGCGTTTGACTGCTAAACAAAGGTCAGCAGTTCAAATCCACCAGATGCTCCTTGCAAACTCTGTGGAGAAGTTCTGCTGTGTTGTATAGGGTCGCTATGAATCAGAATCAACTTGATGGAAATGGGTTTTAGTTACTACAAGAAAAGGCTTTAGAAGCTGCACATGTTAAAGCAAAAATAGGCTTTGTGAGACCAACATGGCAGCCCTCATACTTTCTGTTAATTCACTGCTGTTTCTGTTCACTGCTGTTTCCAAGCCCCTGTTATGTGACCTTGCTGAGGCAGTGTTATATAATCCTCTGGCATGGAGCCACCTTTGTCCTTGACCACTATAAAACCTCCACCCGCCTTCTGCTGGATGCAGAGAACTGCTTTTATCTATGGCCACCAGGGACCTCTTGGCCTTGCTATTTAAATTTTCCTAATAGAGACTCCTTCACCACACACTGGAGTTGCCCACCTCTTTCCTTGGTCTCTCAGCACTCCCCAATTTTGGAGGAAAATTTCAAGTTACTGGTCCATGCCTGGACAATTGAGCCAACCAGGAGACTGAAGGAATGATGAGTGGGAATGAAGCATTTGGAGGGGAAATCCCAGGTTGGCCAGCGACTTCCATGTGGGGAGGTCTGGCCCATATGCTTGATATGTGCAGCCCACTGTGCGAGTGCTTGGATACCGCCAAAACACCAAGTGGCATAGCACAGTTGTGGGAAGATGCACAGCTTCATAAGTGTGGAAGGGAAGCTAGGAAGCTGTGGGATGGCCACTGCTCTGGGCTGTTGGGCTGGCCACTGAGGCCCAGCTAGGTACCAAAGTGTGTGTTAAGAGCCCTGCAGAAGAGCTGCAGTTAGAAAGAGATGGTCACCAGTCCTGTGTGGCAACGACTGGCATATTAAGTAGTCGTGTTCAAGAGCAGGACGAGCAACACGAAACGCTCGCCTGCAGGTTTGTAAAGATGGGAGATTCAGGGGCTATGGGAAAAATCCCCTAGTCATTGCTCAAAGCACTCCAGCAATGGGACTGGAGATAGTTGGAGGGGCTAAGCAGATCCCTGGCGCTGAGAGTACTCTGTAACACCCAGCGCAAAGCAAGAGTTAAATAGCAGGATTAAAAAAAAAATTTAAAAACCTTTCAGGATAGCTTGTGTTAGTGGTCTTGAAGAGACCTTAGAGGTCCTGTCTGAAGTTCTCCAATAACTGCCTCTGCCGAGATAACTGAACAGTAACAGTCACAGCTGGAATAGTAACGGGAAAACAAAAATAGGAGATCCCACCTCCATGTTACCAGCCACTGGGTTGAACCAATGCTTACACTTGGTATGGTGGAGGTGTGGCTCCACAAATGACTGAGGGCTCTGCCAACTTTGCCCAGATCTGACTTTCAGAAATAATTAAAACTGAGGATTAAGCCTAGTTCCCTCTGTCACCAGGAAGGAAAGTGCCAAAGGCAAGGATTAGGGCAGTGTTGAAGAGAGGCTACTGGGACGTGAAAACGTGGAATCCTTGGGAGAGCCCATCGAGTAGTGAACTGGATGTGGAAGTGATAGTGGAGGAGGAATCTGACAGTGGGGAGTCCCCCCCCCCCACATGGCCGCTCATTACTCATAAGATGAAAGGTACCTGGGAACCCGATGACCCCAGACATGAAATCCCACCAGTCATTTCCATGACAGTGTGGTAGTAGACTCCTACTGAGCTGATTGAGCTGTGTGGGAAATTCCAACAGAAAGGCAAGGAGATTTGCAGCTGGGGTACTAAGTCTGTGGGATATTAGGGGAGATGGTGGCTCTTTCAAAGGAGCTGAGACTGAGAAAATGAGTGGTATAACCCCCACCCCCCACCCCCCACCCTCGCTGGCAGCATTTACACATAGCTCTGAACACAGAGAGCATGCACACCCCCCACACATTGGATCATCCTGTGTTGTGGAAGAGCATGGTTGAATGAGAGGGATCATCCTGTCAGGGTCGCGAAATCGTCTTCCGTAGAGGCACGACGCCATGTAT